GTGGGCCGGCCGGGGTGTCTGACCAGACCCTTGCTCGGCTCTCGTCGTCATGTGACAGGGAGGCGGGGTCAAGCGGCGCTGGCGGTGCTGGCGTGTGCGGGTTTGGCGGTGGCATGTGGACAGGGACGGCTACGCGGGGCGTGGGAGAGCCGTGGACGAAAGACACTGGTTCGGCGGTGTCTTCGGCGACGGGAGCAAGGGGAGGCGAGCGGCCCCGCCCGCTGCAGCCCCGCAAAGGTTCGAGCGGGAAGCAGCAGCAGCAGGAGGAGGAGGAGGGGGATGTGAAGGTGTCGAGCGTCGGGGCGAGAGGGGAAGAAGGAGCCCGATGCTGGGAGGACGCGGTGGCGACGACCCCGGCAAAGGGAACGCCCGACCAGTGTCCCGAGAGGCACGTGGAGAGCGATGACGAGGGCCCGGCGGCAACAGGGGGTGCCGTGATGCTGGGAGAGCCGATCACGGACTCCAAGGTTCTGATGGCCGTGAGGATGCCCGAAGCGACAGCGTCGGCGGAGGCCGACGTGTCGTGTGGAGGCGGCGCGGGGACGGAGCACGAGGCATCCGGCGGTTTGGAGAAGGCGTCTGGCGAGGTCCCGGTGTTCGAGGCGACGGCGGCGTCGAGGAGGGCTCGTGGTGGAAGTCGACGGTGCTAGACTGCAGGCGATCGAGGAGGTAGCGGGCGACAGCGCGGGCGTTTCGACGGCAACGGTGCCAGGGGACGGAGCAATATCGGCGAGGCTGCCGGTGTCGTCGTCGGAGACTGCGGATAGGACGGATAGCCCAGTTGCGGCAGCCGAGAAGGCGGAGGAGGGGGGGCTCGTACCAGGGTTGGCGAGCAGGATGGCGGTGGTGGAGACGGTGGCAGCTGCACCCGGAGCTTTGACGATCAAGACGAGGAAGGTGTGCATCGCTGGGCGGCGAGCGAGTGCCCCGAAAGAGTTCGAGAATAACGTAGAGTCATTCGGGTAGATGTTTCTTGTCCAAGGGTGGGCTCAGAAGTGGTCGTTTGGTGGCTTGGGCGACCTCACTCCGCAAGACTCAAGGTGTTGTCTGTTGGGTGTGCTTCGTGTGGACGCACTGCTTCAGCCATCCAGTGCAGTGCAGCGATACCATGCGTGTCGCCGTGGATGACTGCCTCGTATCCCCACCCCCATGACAAAGGTCAACACGATCGGTGTTAGTTTCCCAAACCGGTGCCTGTCGTTCGCATTCGTTGCACCCACCTATCATACGAACGCTCTGCCCCCCTCGACCAATGCCCGTTTGCCCAGGTGTCCTCGGAAGAGAGGCAGATGGCCGGAGCCCCCCAGGGCGAGATCTTCGACGTGGTGGCGTTGACGAGCAGCGAGGTGCCGGCATCGGTCGACGTCTCGAAAGACCTCGAGGTGTGCATGAACGAGTGATGGTACCGCCGCCCGGCTGTCAGTGACCTCGTTTCCGACTGTTGGGCTGGTAGGATCGGTATGACAGCAACTCCACTCTCGCTTACGGTGTACGTGTTCCATGTTGGAGGTTGCGCCATACCGAGCCAATTGTGGGCTGGGGCGTTGGTCCGTTTCTTGCTTTGAATGCCGCGACCCTGCAACAGCGTGACCTCCTATTCGATCTCCGTTTGGGGACGTACTTTGAGGATGTACAACCACACGTGAAGGCCCCATCGCTTTTCTTTGCAGGGCGGGGTGGGTGGTTGAAAGCATGTGCTGAATCCGCCGGGTGTTGCAACCAGACGACCCTACCGTCGAAAGGACATCATATCATACTTGACGGGTTGCAATCGACTCGATCTCCTCGTTCTTCAGAATACTGAACTACAGACGAAAATAGGCTTACCCCCGTGTACGTCAACCTTATTCGCAAACATCCTCTACGTTGCCTTTCACATCATGCAAACGACGCGGGCTCATGATACCTCCACCCTCGTCAGGCCGTGCGAATACGCTCCGGTGTGACCGACTGGGCGAGCTTGTTCGCCGCCGTGAGCTCCGCGAGGACGCTTGTGCTGCACCATCGCGACATGTTCGGGGGAGAGAATGGAGGTCCGGGCTTGATCGGACGGCTGGTGTCTCTCGTGGCGGACGCTGTGTCCAACAGGCGGTCGGTGGTACAGACGAACGGCTTGCGGTGCTTGGGCGAGATGTTCAGGTGCGTGTTGGATGTCGTCGTGTTGGCGTGTGATGTTGAATTGAAGGCGTTGGGATGTGTGTCCGGCTAGCATCTACGGAGTAGGTTCTGTGATCTCATGCTCAGACAACGGCCATGTACTCGCAATTTCCGGTGTTTGTCTGCTGCCTTGATTTCGCATCAACGTATTGACTTCGGTCGTCACCGCTTTCCCCGCCGCTGCTGCCGTCGCCACCCCCGTTTCCATCGACGACGAAACCCTCTTCCCAGCTGCGTGGTGGGGAAGGAGATGACCGCCGACCAGATGGGAACGCTGGTCAGATCTACCTTGTCCTGCCACAAGTCTTCCTCTAAGTTCTGCGGGGAGGAGGCGAGGAAGGTGCGGACGGGGTAGGCACGGGGCAGACGTACGTTGCTTCAACGGCTACGCTGTCGTTGTTGCAGCTGTACTTGGCCTTGCGTCGCTGGAATTGTGCCCTGAGACCTTCAATCTCGCATGGAGTATGCATCACTGCAGTCGTGGTTCCTCACGTCCGTACTCAGATGATATAGCTGCGCTGCAGCAGAGCAACGCCGAAACGACGGCATGCTCACGTCGACTTTCGCCAGATGTGCACCGTTAACATATTTGGTTCCCTCTCGTTTTCCACGTATCATTCCATATCCCACGACCAGGCCATGGAGGCTGCCCTGGCCAACGCCGACCCGGAGCCTCTGCTCAGCGCGGTCCTCCCGCTAGCACTCGACACACACCCCAAGGTGGCCTGCCGAGGGCTGATGTGCACGGCCGAGTGCTTGTCGCGGCTGCTAGAGGGCAGCGTGGCGGGGCGCGGTCTGGTGGATGGTGTGGACGTGAAGTCCGTTGTGGCGGCACTGGCCAAGGGGGCCTCGAGCAGGGACTCCGATGGCAAGGAGGCTGCCTGGAGAGGGGTGGAGATGTGAGATCAGCATCGTTTGAGTATCGATATCTGCCTCTCTCTTTCATCACCCCTCCTACTTCCTCCTTCTCCACGCTCCTGACATGAGATTGTGTCCTGTAGGCGCCGAAATGTGGATTGAGATCGTAGGATATGAAAGAGAGGAACGGTCGACTGGACAGTGTGACAAAAACGCGATCAAAGCGCTAGAAATAGGGTAGATACTGGCGTTGGGGGCGAAGGTGAACGTGGTGGATGTTTGGACACGTTTGGGAGGTCACGAGGCGAGATAGAAGTCGAACGGTATGTTGACGGCCTGAAATATTCTGTCGACAGAGCTACAGATGCAGCTCGAGTAAAATGATCTGAGGTTGCGAGACAGTCGGTGGCGATATTCAGTACGGAGGTTTGCCCACCGATGCGGTAAGGCGCGAGAGAGTCGAGCCCAAACAATGGCCCGGAGATAGGAGGACACTTGGTACGGTACGGTACAAGGTGCGAAGAGTGTCCAGAGTCGTCGCTGTCGCTCATGGGAGTAGGAATGGCGATCTGGCTTGAACGAGAGGTATGATGGATAGTCAAATGAACAAGGCGACGTACAAAAAGACACGTCCCCCCCGCCCGGTGCTATCTTTTCTTCACTTTCCCGGCCGGCACATCCCCTCTCGTAGAGCCACATACAATATGGAGTGTCTAGGACTGCTGAGACACAGCAGCCCGAACATCACAGAGCAGGTCGGCGTGTGTGGCGTGCCCCCGTCAAGGTATGTATTGCAGTTGGAACGCGTCGCTGACGTTGCTCCCTTTCGCTCTTGACATGCCCACAATACCTCTCACGAACAAGCAGGTGCCGCAAGGCCTTGGGGGAAGATGCGTTCGAGGCGACTATCGCCGAGCACGTCGACCGGAAGGGAGTGCGAGCTATCCACGACCTCGTGTCCGGCAAAGTCCGGAAGCTCAGCAGGACAGTAGCAGCAGCAGCAGCAGCAGCAGCAGCAGCAGCAGCAGCAGCAGCAGCAGCAGCTGGAGCGGGGGCGGCGGGAGGCACGGCCACGGCCGGCCGTTCGGGCGTGCGTTCCCGTCGCCGGGTGGCTGACGGCGGTGCTTTCGGCAAGCCTGCGGCAAGGGGTGGTCTGGGTGTGCGGGACAGGCCTACGACCGGCGGTGATGGCGGGGCCCACATCGGTGGGCCGGCCGGGGTGTCTGACCAGACCCTTGCTCGGCTCTCGTCGTCATGTGACAGGGAGGCGGGGTCAAGCGGCGCTGGCGGTGCTGGCGTGTGCGGGTTTGGCGGTGGCATGTGGACAGGGACGGCTACGCGGGGCGTGGGAGAGCCGTGGACGAAAGACACTGGTTCGGCGGTGTCTTCGGCGACGGGAGCAAGGGGAGGCGAGCGGCCCCGCCCGCTGCAGCCCCGCAAAGGTTCGAGCGGGAAGCAGCAGCAGGAGGAGGAGGAGGGGGATGTGAAGGTGTCGAGCGTCGGGGCGAGAGGGGAAGAAGGAGCCCGATGCTGGGAGGACGCGGTGGCGACGACCCCGGCAAAGGGAACGCCCGACCAGTGTCCCGAGAGGCACGTGGAGAGCGATGACGAGGGCCCGGCGGCAACAGGGGGTGCCGTGATGCTGGGAGAGCCGATCACGGACTCCAAGGTTCTGATGGCCGTGAGGATGCCCGAAGCGACAGCGTCGGCGGAGGCCGACGTGTCGTGTGGAGGCGGCGCGGGGACGGAGCACGAGGCATCCGGCGGTTTGGAGAAGGCGTCTGGCGAGGTCCCGGTGTTCGAGGCGACGGCGGCGTCGGGAGGGCTCGTGGTGGAAGTCGACGGTGCTAGACTGCAGGCGATCGAGGAGGTAGCGGGCGACAGCGCGGGCGTTTCGACGGCAACGGTGCCAGGGGACGGAGCAATATCGGCGAGGCTGCCGGTGTCGTCGTCGGAGACTGCGGATAGGACGGATAGCCCAGTTGCGGCAGCCGAGAAGGCGGAGGAGGGGGGGCTCGTACCAGGGTTGGCGAGCAGGATGGCGGTGGTGGAGACGGTGGCAGCTGCACCCGGAGCTTTGACGATCAAGACGAGGAAGGTGTGCATCGCTGGGCGGCGAGCGAGT